GCATAGGATTAGAAATCGGAAAACTATGGAACCCAAACGAAAAGTTATGGCCCTGGTCAGCCAAAAAATCGGCACATCTGTTTCCCTCCCGATAAACATGGTTGACACTAACCTCAAAACGATGTGGTTACAATTTCGTCGCAACAAATGAGGGAATGCATGTATTTTTACAAGAATCAACAACTGTTTGTATTTCAAGTATTTTTAATGTTTATCAGGTACACATCCTTAAATTTTTACAATGATCATTGTATGGACACGTGTATCAATAACACATGATTTAGTTGTAACTTGTGTTATATTAGGTTATTGTAAATTTTGAAAATTGGGCAAATACATTTCTAGCCGTTACAACTTTAAATGGATTGCGTCGATCCTACCTAGAGTAGAGTGAATCGTAAAAACTACAAAGCATATTTAGAATAATATATATAAAATAGAAGATAAAACAACTCAATCAATCAAATAAGGGAACATTGTTGTATTTTGAACTTTTAAGGATATGTTGTCCCAATTCAAGTCACAAACACCATTAAAGCACCAACATTTCCCATTTAATTCAAATGTTTATGTCAATTTTGAGTTCAAATCCCAATATCTGGTGGAGGAGATCAGGAGAAGCTTTCAATTGTTTACCATGTGTTTCTATAGTTTGCAATCTGAAAAGACTGCGAGATTAGTTGAATTGATTCAGATATTGCTCAATTAGTGGTGAGTGGTAGGAATAGCAATTTAATTAATCCAGAGCTTATATCACAAGAAGCATACTCGCTTCATATTGAAAATGAGATACCGTATAACGTCTTCAAATTAATAACATAGTATAAATTAATAATTTTTTCATTTCCCACTTGGGTCGGTATAAGAAATGAGCAAATTTAATAAAATAATAAGATAATAACATTTGAGAACCAACCTGCATAAATACATGTATTTTTAACTCTATAAATTAATAATTGTAAAAATACAATTCATCTAGAAATTTATAATATAGCTAGAATAATCTAGAAAAATATAAATATATAGTTGTTTATGTATTCTTGAAGTTCAAGTCTAATATAAGTTCATCTTGAACTTTCCTCATTGCACTCAAAGTTTCCGGTGTTGTTTTCTCTAATTGTATAAAGTATTTTTGAAGAATCGAAGCGGCTTTAAGTGTTTCCTTTTGCATGACCAGTTCTAAAGGTATTGATTGAATTGTCATCTCCTTCATCCTCAATTGAACCTCCAATGATATCAGCCACAATTTCTTCTAACGTCTGTGCCACGATACATTCATAATTTTCACCTGGATACTCCAACAAATCTTTTTGGGTGCACGAGGGATGATCTCTCTTGTACTCACATAATTGTTTACGCATTTGATCGGTCATGGTGGACTTTTGGACACCTTTTAAATGAGAAGCCATTGTTGAATATGACTTCTACAATATTTCTGTAGTACTATTTATAGTGATCGGGTCAACATATATAGGGGTGCAAGTTATTTAAAACATGGAATTAAAAATTTAATTTCTATTCATGAAATAAAATTCACCTTTTTAACTAATTATTTATCAATTCATACGATCGCTATAACAAAAATTAGTCACAACCTCACAAGTCACAATCGATCACCGTAAAGCAAGAAAAGAAAAATTAGTCACAACCTCACAATCGGTCACAGTAAAGAAAGAAAAAAAGGAGGTGGGCAAAGGCAAAAGCAGAGAACAGCTGTGTTGCGTATGAGTGCTTATAGTAGTAGTATTGGAGGTTGTTTAGTTTGAATTATTATCGTGTAGAGAACACTTTGGGGTCATTTGGATCTAGGTTTTTAATTTGTGGGATTTTGGCTCAAATCACTTGTTTAAAAACCTAGGTTTTTAATTTGTGGGATTTGTGTGGGATTTTAAAATAGCTGATCACCATCAGCTATTTCATAATCCCACAATTGTGGGTTTCTGAAATCTCTAATATTTAAAATCTCTTATCATATAATTGCTTTCCAAACGAGTGATTTTAATAAAATCCCACATTATTTAGGATTCTGCCCAAATCCCACACCCAAAACCTGCATCCAAATGACTCCTTTCTGGTCACACTCCCCATTGGTCTCTTTTCCAATTAGGCTACCAATGTAATCTAATTTTCAAGATTAAAGTTCATAGATAACTTAAGAGTAAGATACTTTTAATTTTCGAAAAACTCTTGTAAACGGATGAATTCCTGTTATAAATGTTGTAGTCTCCCAATAATGAGATGCATGTGCCTCCTCATTTCCCATGAATGTTATATTGGATAATTAAGGGTTAATTACAAATTTGGTCAATGAAATTATTAAATAGTTTTACATTTGATCACTAAAAATATTTTATTCCATTTTTTTGTCATTAAAATTAGTTAAACAAATTCAATTTTACATTTGATCACTAAAAATATTTTATTCCATTTTTTTGTCATTAAAATTAGTTAAGCAAATTAAAATTTGGTCACTCTTGATCCAACTCTGTTAATTTTGTCTAATGTGACAATCATCTCTCATAGTTCACCGTTAAATATGTGACGTAACAATTAAAAAATAAATTTTACTCTTTAAAATTTTCCACCTCATTTTCACACCTATTAAAAATTAGGGTACGTCTATGGTGCCTTGCAAGTCACCGTAACTTGCACTTTTCAGTCGACCTATTTCTAACTGCGGCCGACCTAATACACTAAGGTGGTCACTCTGATGAAAACTCACGGTCGATTACAACATAGTGGTTGACCGTTTTAAGTTAAGTTGACACATTAATGGTCGACCACAATAAAACATCGATCGACCTTTTCATAGTAGTTAGAAGCAAAATGGTGGACCGTAAATATAGTGAGGTTGACCACTTGATGGCAGTCATTACCGAAATGATCTACATTTACAGAAACAGGTCGACCAGATACAAGAGTAAAGTGTTCTATCCATTTATCTATCCCCTTTGAAGTGTAACGAAGATCAAAAGTGTTGGTTTCGCGATCGACCGAATACAGTAAAAGGTCGGTCGAATATAGGAAAATCAACCTATGACCTTGGACCTTTTTGCTTATGTATGTCGATGTGGGTGGTTCGTTTGCTCGTACAAATTACGTTTGAAACCAACAAAATCAGTCCTAAATCATAATAGCAAGGACCCATAACTTCATAACATAACAACTTAACAAACTAACAAGTAACAAGAAATACAATAAAACACACCTCATAATTGTTCACACAGACCCAAAATCCAAACCCACATAATATCAATCCGCAATCAAAGTTGTTTCAAACCAAATCGTCTTTAAGACTTAACAACAAAAAAACACAATCTAAAATCATTGAGTTCCTACACCTCTCCCTTGTTTGAGTGGCGGTCATTATGACATATATTCTTATTTATAGTTGTTTAGGATGAGATTATGGCGAATTAAGTGCTAGACAAGTTAGGGTTACCTTTTTAGTGTTGGACTCCTTATTCAATACGGATATAGTGTAGATTCGGACGACCACATAACTCACAGGTCGGCCGTTTCTACTATTTTCGAAAAGAATTCCGAGTTTGGTATTGACTAGTTAATGCGATAGAGATCGACCTTTTCAAAACAGAGGTTGACCTTTTAATGCACAAGGTCAACCATTTTAGCATACGAGGTCGGCCTTTTATGTTGTTCACTTGCCAAAGAGGTCGACCTTTTGATGTACAAGGTCATCCGCGTTGTTGACAGTCACAAAACAAAGTTAGTAGGTCGACCATGCTTAACTTTCGGTCAACCGAAAAGTGCAAGCAAAGTCCTAAAAATTGAATTAAACACACTTTCATATAATCCCAAACGCCTAAACCTAGCCGTCCTCCCTCCTCCAGCCTCCCATCATTTACTTTGGATTTGCTTCTTCTCTCATCCTCCTTCAATTATCTCTTTCCCTCTTTCACCTGCTTCTTCAATCTGCATTTTCTCTCTTCTTTGCCTATTACTCGTTTTGGGTGGACGAAAAGTGGAAGGAGAGGCCCAGTTTATAAGATTATTTCTTTTTATTTTTTTTATTTCCATGTAATATGTATTTAACAGTCATTAATGATAGTTGACTGTCACATTAGACAAAATTAATGGATTTGGATGGAGAGTGACCAAATTTGAAATATTTAACTAATTTAGTGACCACGAACGAATAAAATAATTTTAGAGACCAAACATAGTTTTTTTAGTAATCTCAGTGATCAAACTTGTAATTTACCTGATAATTAAAATTGTAAAGACATGTTCTTACGATAATAATAATCAACTTAAAGCCATTGGCTCTCGTACTTTCTTTCAAGATATAACAAAACAAGACATTCTTAATCCAAGAACCCTCCAAAAATTGCATGTTAGTGAAGTCATTCTACAAAGGCAAAGGAAGCTAATCCTAAAGCACACAACATCACGACTTTACACGCTATTTCATGGACAACCCTCTAAAAATTGATCGTTTTGGCGTGGATTTGTATGTTCCTTAGCCTATTTTACGCTAGGTTGTGCTCTTGTGTCACATCTCAGGTATTAGCAGGTAAAGGGAGGTCTAGGCGCAAGTTTTGGGTCATTTGGAGATCATTTGGCTACTTGGGAAGAAACTAGAGACAAAACACGGCCAGGCTTCTCCAAACACACACGTGTTTGTCGAGAGGAGTCATGAAGAAAGTGAGAAACATGGGCGCTGGAAAACACGGTTGTGTTTTGACCTCATTTCTTATGCCGAGAGGAATTGTGGGGAAGGGAAAAAACACAGGCACTGCCCGTATTTCTCAGTGCTCGCGTTTCTCCCCTTTTTAGACTTATGTAGAGCATTTGACCTGGTCAAAACACGAGCAAATGCAAAACACGGGCGTGTTCATAATCATGATTTGCCCAGTTTCGGGGTAAATTGGTAGATTCAAGCTTTTTGAAAGGAATCCGACTTTTGAGAACAAAAATAGAGTTCTAGAGAGAGAAAGTGACGAAGAATAAGTCCTTGGAGCTATTTGGAGCTGAAATATCACCATTGAAGCCCAGATATCATACCAAGGAGTAAAGATTGACATCCCATAGCAGATTGTACACATCAACATGAGTATGACTACTTTGATTTTGGTTTTCCTCTCATTCTCTCTCTCTGTCTGTCAGTCTATCTATCTAGAGTAAACCTCCTTCTCACTTGGGTATGAAGAACTCTATTTTCATGTGTTAGGAATCTTGTTTGTATGAACTTTTGCATGTAATACTGAGTCCTTGGTCCGAGGACCTCAGACTGAGTATTCAACACCTTAAAGTTGCTGCAAACAACTTTGAGGTGAAAACTTCTGTGAACCAGATGCTAAAGACCTTGATGGTCTTTGATGGCTGGATGGTGAATGCCCACGAGAGCATCTCAATCGTTTCCACGAGCTGATCGACAAGATCAAAATCTACCTCAGGAGGTGATCCGGCTTCGCTACTTCCCTATCTCTCTGGAGGGGAGGGCTAAGTCATGGTTGGAGAACCATGCACCAGAGTCAATTCCTCTTGGGTTAATCTGGTCAACAACTTTATCGTTCGCTATCATCCCCCGGCCAAGACTGCGGATCTGCAAAAGCAGGAGGAGGATGAGACTCTTCTAAATGTTTGGGAGAGATACTCCGACTTGTTTCTCAAGTGCCCCCGCCATGGGTTCAATGACTAATTCAATGTGAGAAATTTATGCCATGCCATCTTCATAAAGACTGAAGTTGATCAACCAACTCTTTCTGCCAAGGGGGTATGCTGAGCAAAATTCCGCCTCAGATGAACCAACTTTTTGAAAACATGGCAGAAGAAGGTTATGATTGGGGAGCTACAAAGAGGAACATGCGTCTCTAGGCCAGAGGTGTCCATTCTGTGGTAGATCCAATCCACCTTCTGTTTTTAACTAATAGGTTCCCGTGATCGATCCATCTTGTCTATCATCTTCAAATCTTCTTTCCAATGCGACGCTCATCTACGATTTTGATTCAGCAGTAAACCTGATGACAGCAGCAGTCATGAGAATTATAAATCACCAAAATCACTAAAATGAAGACACTCAGAACTCAGGAGTGAAATGGGAATGATCACAAGAGGGACTGACTGGACTTAAAGTGAAGTATAAGGGCATGGAGATGTGTGGTCAAGCTTATCTAATGATCAACAGAGAATCGGATACGGAGCGAGAGATTTTTCGCTTACCTCCTGGACGAGATTTTGGTCATAGCACGACGCAAGTGGCGGAGCTACGGTGTTTCAGAGACCTGCTCTTTGATTACTCGCTTCATCTTGAAATAGTTTACTTGACACTTGTCTTGGAGAAAGGCCTGCAAAGTTGCCCCTGCCAGTACTATGAACGTCTTCCAAAACAAAACCACCTTTGCTGCTGCTGCTGCTGCTGCTGCTACTATGTCTCTGCTGAAATCTTCTGCCCTCGGGGAGATAAGGCCCGCCAGTCCACAGGCTGTTTCGCGACTGCGTGATGCCCGACGAAGGGAACCTTGAAGGTGCAGAGTACTGACCGCCATCCGTTCTTCGCCATAACTTCGAACTAAAAAATTCTGTCCCAGGGAGCTTGCAGCATGCCTTATTATCGGCTGGGCTGGTTTCAGGTATCCTTCCTCTTGATACAGCCAAGTCGTGTGATATTTCATTCAATGCCATTTCCAGACCATGCACTCTCGTCTCCAAAGAGTTTATCCCACTCTGGGAGCTCCCCATGAAACTCTAAATTCCCAAGCAAACAAGAGAATTACAGTTAAAAAATCAGTTCATTTCCTCATATTATAGGGACATATAAGTTTGACACTGCAATCTGCAAGACCATTTAGGCCTGCCTCAAGGTGAACATTTATTTTCACAGGTGAAATGTTGATATAAAGGCTTACAAGTTACTAACTCTAGGATAAGGTGGATGTTTACATCACATTAGTTAATACTTGGCCAATCCTTGCGGTAAAAATTGACCTTCTCAGCATTGTGAAAGACAAGTAGGGACTATCTCATTTGACAAACTAGTCCCAAGTCGGAACGGAAGATGTGAATGAAGTATGAAGTAAATGACACCCAACAAACAACAGCTAACTGACAAATAAGAGTTTTACTGGGATCCAGACTTGGGAAATTGCTCGAATTTGACTTTGATGTAGAGAGGTCAAAAGTAACCAATACAAAAGATGAGAATCTTGTACCTGGAGAAGGTCCAAAAGATTGGATTGCTGGGTTTCAATCTGAACAAGTTGTTGACGTATCAAGGACAGATCCTCCATCTCTTTGGGATTCTCATACATACCTTCAGCAGGATTGTTCAACCCGGTTCCTCCTTTGGCTGCGTAACACATTTCATCATCACCTTCCTCATCGTAGTCATAAGGAACCACCCTCGACCCAGATCCGAACCCACCAAATTTGTGAGGTTTGTGATGAGCAACGCGGTTGCTGCTGCTGCTGCTGAAGAGCACCCGCTTTGTTTCTGGGCTCGAGCCCCCATTCCTAACTTCATCAGCCGATTTCAGGACCTTTGGAGCTTGTAACTTGATGTCATCCTCACAGGGCTTATCTTGTGCTGGTACAGCAACTTCAGTTTTCCAATTGGAAGAAGGCCTCATGTGGTCCACCTTCTGAAGCATTGCCGGCCTTGAATTGCTGTCATTACTCTTCACAGGGCTTTGCTTCTTGGCTGTGGTCACCACCGAAGAAGCATCCGATGGAGGGGACCTATTGGGCGGTGGGAAAGACTTCCTTGATGAAGGAGAGGGTGTTTTATAGCCAACGTTGGTAGAACTTCTGATGCATCCGCCATTACCATTATCTGGTCCCCGTGAAGAAACCCCCAAAACAAAGAAAGCAGAGAAAAATGGATGAAGTCAAGCATTTAGAATATCTGTCCCCAATATTGAATGGGATAAGAAAAGGCACTCAAAAAGCTCAAACATCATTACATTATGATAGAAGAACACTATCCATTGACAATATTTCCTTTGCCAATTTCATGGATTCCATGAATGACACGACCAATTGACAGCCATTAACGAAACGCCATGAAATGCTTCTTACCTCCTCCTGAAGAAGATGTAGAGAGACTTGAAACTGAAATCTCTTGGCCAGAACCACCCTCTACCTCCTTCCACAAGTCCAGGGCACGGTTCATAGTCTCTCGAACAAGCTTTACCTGTTAGATGGGAAAAAGAACCAAGCCAGAAACTCCATTTTTCAATTCCCCAATCGAACGCCCAATTTCGAAGAAATCGAACGAGTTTCTTACCTTATCAAACCTCCTGTTCTCCAAAGAGAACAAACACGAAGTTCTATGATCCTTGGCTGCTTCTTTCTCCGCAACTGCTATCTTCCCCAGTGCCTCGGCAGCAGCCTTCCTGGCCGCCCAATCTTCAGAGCTCAATAGGTCAACCAAACAGGGAACCAACCAATCCAAAACGCTCTTACTCGCTGCGCCTCCGACGCCCACAATATTCCCAATCACGCTCAACAACGCGGCTTTGGGCTTGAATCCTTCTCCCTTCACCAGCTTGCAAAGCCTCGGCAGCACCTTCCTCAGCTGCTCAACTCCCGGCTCCGGCGCCGCCTCGATCGCCGCCGCCAGGCACATCGCGGCTCCGATCTGAGAGTTCGGATCTTGCTCCACCGTCAGCATCTCTATCAGCGGCTTCGAGACGGCGGCGAAGGGAGGCTGCGTGATCTGAGACGACATGGCGGCGGCGGCCTCGACGCAGGCCGACCGGACGGCTGAGTCCGGGTCCCGGAGGCGGCGGACGACGGTGGACACCATCTTGGAGAGGTGAGGAGACAGCGAGTTCCCGTGGGAGTGGGAGAGGAGAGTTAACAGGCCGACGCATTGCCTTCGGACGGGAGATTTGGAGGTGGAATCGGTGTTGTGGATACAGTTGAGGAACGGAGAAAACGAGTCGTGAGTCAAGCTCTGAGCGATCGACTCGAGCTCGGCCGTGGCGACGGCGAGGGTGTCCCGGTCGGAGAGCTTGTTCAGGCAGGCTATGACTCGTTGCTTGAGATCGCTGCTGGCGGGACTCGCCGCCGGAGGTGCTGAGATCGGCGAGGATCGTCTCTGCGGAGACATCGGTTTTCTACTTCAAAATTAATTCTCTCTATGGTGGATTAGTTCACATTTGAGTCGCCGCTGACGCCGCCGGTAGCAGTGGTTTCTTCCGTGGGCGGTGGCGTCGGTCCTTTTTGGGGATTTGGCGGTAGATTTTGACGGAGGGAGAGAGATGGCGGTTGCTTGGTAGCAAGTTTTGCGAAGTGTCAGGGAAATGAGCATTTAAATGTTGCCAGAGGGCAGGAGGTCAGGAGACAGTAATAATTATTTATTTACAATTATTATAATATTTTTCTTTAAGTTCCTCGGCTGCATTATTTTCCACTGCAAATGATTTATTAGTTATAAGAGAAGAGAATTGTTTTAAGAAAAATGAAAGTAGTTAACATATATGTATTTTTGGATAAAATCAATATATGGATGCTGGAATGAGTTGGGAAGTGTAATGGGTTTTCTGGAACTTTTTGTCTTATTTCCCCACTTAACATCGCATTAATCATTCAATTTATTCCTTTAATAAATAATTAAATGTGATTTTTTTATGAAACGATATAATAACTAAATAATTTATTTTAAACAAAATGATGGCAATATATTTTGAAAAACAGTATGATAATCAAATCGTTAATTTTTTATGCGGTTCAATGTTAGTGAACTTGTTTTTAAGAAGGTTAATAGCCTTTGATCAATGTACCACTTCATGTAAGTATTGATTTGGATTCTGAGAACGTACAATCCAAATTCACGTGGCCATGTTACATCGAGCTCGAAACCTAAACCTATCCTTGCACTCTACGAATATCAAAGATCCATTTACAAATGCACATTACTATGTTAATAATATGAATACAAAGTGAAAACCACAAACTAATATATCATCTAATCTAATGCATGCTAATAGAGCAACATAATCTACGTGAGACATGGTTGATTTGGGGGGGGGGATCCATTTGGAGTCGAGACAGAAAGAGAGTCGAAGTAGTGAAGAACTATAAAGTTCTTGATGGTTGCTAACCACCAGAAAGGTTGGGAGATTTTGGAGGGAAGTCTTATTAAACGAGAAGTTCAAAACAAAAAATCAGAGTACGAGAATGAGCTATCGAGTCAATTAACCCCCCTAATATGGAAATGTGTGACGATATTGGAATTGAAAGAAGTCCCTTGAAATTGAGATAGGCGTAAATAAAAACTAGTCGAAGATACTGGTTGAGAAGTATTAGGTTAGAATTTATATCAGCTCGATTCGAGTCGAAAACATGGAATTACCTCTTTGCCTTTTCTCTCCTCCTAAAATGGGAGTTATCTATATTTAGAGATTCTCTATGCTTACCCTCTCAAACGTCTTCTTGCAAACTTCTTCTAGAGTTCGAGGCGCCTATCCACTAGAAGTGATGCCTTGTCCTCAAACTCTCCTAACCCAAATGAACCTTCATCGTTTGGGCTCAAAGAAATATTAAGAAGTAAAATTAAAATTAAATAGAAATTAAAGCTCGACATAATCTCTTTTCTTGCATTGCATGGCATTTGCTCGAGGATGAAAACTTTATTTAACTCACGCGACCTGATCTAATATGTTTTGCATTTTTGTTCCACCGTTGTGTCTGTCTGGGGAATTACTTCTATTGGACTGAATCTCAGCTGTCAAGAAATCCTAGCTGCACAAGGATTGGAGAGGCGCCAAGAAGTAAGTTTGAATGTTTGAAATAGAGTCTGTCATTGCTCATAGCGGTGTCGTTTGAGTCAGGTTAATTAAGCGAGTCTGTGAAATAAGGGAAACTGCGTCGTTTGCAGGTTTACCAAGTCAGTACTTCATGTTTGGTTAAGTGTTGATCAAGTCCTAAGAGTAGTTGTTAGCTGATTGAACTCTGGTAGTTGAGTAAGTGTTTAGCAGATCGTGGAAGCCTTGGTTTCAGGGTAGTGGGTCATTGGTAGTAGCCAAATGTTGTGGCTTGCACCTCGTGTATATATTCAGAAGTTTCTCATTCAATAAAGAAATGTCAGATTGCAGCACAGAGGTAGTTTACATTTGGTATCAGAGCCTTCTGCAAGCTGTAACCAACGAGAGATTGTTTGATTGAGTGAAACTGAGTGATTAAAATTGCAGGATCTGGGTCAGGGAAACACGAGAGAATATTGGTGAGGAAATCAACACAGGGTGAGTGGTGTTTGAGGTCTGAAGGCCATTGTTTGATAACTGCAGAACCATGAGTGACAATGTAGGGTTCTCACAAGTGGGGCTCCCCAAATTTGATGGTGATTACGACCATTGGAGCTTACTAATGGAAAATCTTCTTAGATCAAAGGAGTATTGGGGAGTTGTCAGTGAAGGAATTCAGGAACCAGCAACAGGTGTTGTGTTATCTGCTGCAGAATCTAAAAGCCTGGTTGATCTCAGACTCAAAGACTTGAAGGCAAAGAACTACTTGTTCATTTCCATTGACAAGACAATTCTCAAGACCATCACTGCCAAAGCTACTGTCAAGCAGTTATGGGATGCCATGAAAGTCAAGTACCAAGGAAGTGCTCGTGTTCAGAAAGCCCAGTTGCAGGCTCTCAGAAGAACATTTGATGTTCTTGAGATGAAAGAAGGTGAGACTATCACTGCCTACTTCAGTAGGGTAATGATTGTAGCCAATGATATGCGAAATTGTGGTGAGGATATGCATGATGTTAAGATTGTGGAAGAAATCTTAAGGACATTGACAGAGAGATTCAATTATGTTGTCTGTTCCAATGAAGAGTCTAAGGACATAGAAACTCTATCTGTTGATGCCCTTCAGAGCTCACTGCTAGTGCATGAGCAAAAGTTTCATAAGAAATCCATTAATGAAGAGGATCAGGCATTAAGGATCTCACATGAGTTTGCTGGAAGGGGAGGAAGAGGTCCTGGCAGCAGAGGTAGCTATCAGGGCTATCAAGGTAGAGGAAGAGGTGGTAGAGGCTGGAATAAAGGAAATATTGAGTGTTTCAAATGTCATAAACTAGGACATTATCGTAGTGAATGTCCTGAGTGGTATAATAACCAACAAGCTCACTATTCTAGCACTCAGAATGAGATGACAGATGATGTCCTGCTGATGGCCTTCCTAGAAGACAGTAAGATGAAGAACATGTCAACCTGTTGGTTTTTGGACTCAGGTTGCAGCAACCACACGAGTGGTGAGAAAAAATGGTTTGAGCATATTGATGCTAAGTCAACTGGAAAGATCAGATTGGGAGATGACAGCAGACTTGATGTGGCTGGTAACGGGACAGTAAGACTGCAACTTGGGAAACTATCCTTGGTGATACAAGATGTATTCTTTCTTCCAAGACTCAAGACTAACCTGTTGAGCATGGGACAATTACAAGAGAAGGGACTGGAGTTTTTGGTTAAGAAGAATGTCTGCAGGATCTTTCATGAAGACAAAGGTTTCTTATTGGAAACCAAGATGCAGTCTAACAGAATGTTCATACTGCAGCCTGAAGCAGAAGCAACTGAAGCAACTGGCAGAACAGAAATTCAATGCCTTCAAACCAACAAAACCAAGGAAGCAACCCTGAATCTCTGGCATAGAAGGTTTGGTCACTTGAATCCTCAAGGACTACTGCAGGCTCAGAAGAAGAAACTGATACAAGGTATTCCTGACTTGAAAGGTGAAGTGGGCATTTGCTCTACTTGTCAGCTTGGAAAGCAAACCAGACAACCATTTCCCAAGAAAAGCACATGGAGAGCTACTGAAAGGTTACAATTGGTGCATGCAGACCTATGTGGACCCATCACCCCAACCTCCAATGGAGGTAAAAGGTACATTTTCACCTTGAAAGATGATTACAGCAGGAAATTATGGGTATACTTTCTTAGAGCCAAGTCTGAAACTTTAGAATGGTTCAGAAAGGTTGTGCTTCAAGTAGAGAAGGAAACTGGATCTTCACTTCTCTGTCTCAGAACTGATAGGGGAGGAGAGTTTCTGCTAAATGAGTTTAACTCCATGTGTGATGAAGTTGGAATGAAAAGGAAGTTAATAGCAGCTCTTACCCCACAACAAAATGGAGTAGCTGAGAGGAAGAATAGAACCACTATGAACATGGTTCGATGTATGCTAAAAGACACTAAAGTACCTGCTGGTTTTTGGCCAGAGGCTGTCAACTGGACCACACATGTCTTGAACAGATGCCCTACTGCTGCAAATCAAGGAAAAAATCCTCAAGAGTTGTGGACAGGAACAGCTCCATCTGTAGCTCATTTCAAGGTCTTTGGATGTGTTGCATATGCTCATGTCCCAGACCAGCAAAGGAAGAAGCTGGATGATAAAAGCACTCAGTGCTATTTCCTTGGCATCTCTTCAGAATCTAAAGCCTACAGCCTTTATAATCCTGCTACTAAGAAAATAGTGGTAAGCAGGGATGTGCTGTTTGATGAGAGTAAAGGATGGAAATGGGACTCAGAGGTTCAACCTGTTTCAATCAATATAATGTGGGAAGGAAGTGAAGAAGTTTGGTCAGACTCAGATGGAGAAGAGGGGCCAGTAGTGACAAACACACCTGATCATGCTTCCACTAAAGCTGAATCAGAACCAACCAGCCCTGCAACTCCAACAACTCAAGTAACCAGCATAGAAGAAGAAGAATAAAATTCAGGTGATGAGAGGAATAATGAACTTGGACCTAGAAACAGAAAGCCACCTGGTCATCTAAGTATATATGATTGCAGCCATGCAGATTCTGAAGAATTAGATTGGCTAGTTATGGTGGCCACCACTGAAGATCCACAAACATATGAGGAAGCTGCTGGTGATCCCATCTGGGATGTAGCAATGCAACTGGAAATGAGTGCAATTGAGAAAAATGATACATGGGAACTCACTGTCTTACCTCATGGCATTATTCCTATTGGTTTAAAGTGGCTCTACAAGACCAAGCTGAAAGAAGATGGGACACTGGATAAGAAGAAGGCAAGGCTAGTGGCTAAGGGTTATGCTCAGAGGGCAGACATTGACTACACTGAAGTCTTTTCCCCAGTAGCCAGGTGGGATACAATCAGAACTCTCCTGGCACTGGCTGCCTATCATGGTCTAACCGTTTGGCAGTTAGATGTTAAAAGTGCCTTTCTTCATGGAGAGTTAACTGAAGATGTCTATGTTGAGCAACCACAAGGGTTTGTGGTTGCTGGGGAGGAAACCAAGGTCTATAAGTTGAAGAAAGCACTCTATGGATTGAAACTGGCTCCAAGAGCCTGGTACAACAGGGTGGAAAGTTACTTTCTCAGTACTGGTTTTGAGAAATGTCAACATGAAGCAACTCTGTTCATCAAAAGAACTGAGAAAGGAGTGCTGATAGTGAGTTTATATGTGGATGATGTCATGTATCTCAGCACAAACAATGAAATGGTTGAAGAGTTCAAACAGTCAAT